GGCCCTACAGAAAACCCAGTTTTTACCCATTTACACATGGCTGCCCTTACAATGGTCGGTCAGCGACAGTCCCTGTTTTCCATTCTCTGACAGAAACAGGGTAATAAAGCATCAAAAAATGACACAGAGGCAGGTGCCCACAGTCAGAAGTGAAGAGTTCCTACTCCTGTTGATAGGCAAAAAATGGCTCGGTTGGGAGAGTGTTAGACTGAAAATCTAAAAGTACCTGGTTCAATCCCAGGTTTTGGCAGTATGAGGGCCCTCTCTCCATATTCTCAGATATTGTGTGGTGTTTTAACTTTTTCTTGTGCAAAAAACAAGATGACTTGAGTCGTTTGCTAGCCTAGTGAACAAAAAAGTCAGCAGCACAAGAAAGGCGAATGCACTGTGGGCTGCACGAACAGAATGATGTAGTGCTGGGCAAGAAAGAACAACGAAAGCGACTGGGCAAGAATGGCATTCATGGCTGAGCTGTATGTTGGAAACCACTTTTAGCCTGGAGAAATATCAGTGCTCAATGCTCAGCTTGTGAAAAAAGCACTTTTTTTTATCCACAGGCCATGTGCAATAGTGTTGAAAGGAGAGACTTTAGGTTTCACAATGTCATTCACTGCAAAAATGAGTCAGCTTTTTTTCTTTGTTCTGACAGTGACTGGGAAAAAAAAAAAAACCCTCCAACTCCCCAGTCGGGGAATCGAACCCCGGTCTCCCGCGTGACAGGCGGGGATACTCACCACTATACTAACGAGGAGGAAATGGTACTCAATGGCCTGAAAATGTATGTGCTGTAGAACGCCATTCCAAATGTCTGCAATGACATTTTGCAGGTCTTGTAAAACAATGGCAATTGAACCTTATCTTAAATTCAGCAATGACCCTGCAGCTGTCCTTGCTTTCACTACTCCTGGGACAAGCAAAACTAATGATGCATAGTGTTAGTTGACTTTGACTTCAAACTAAAATTGACACATTGCTTGCTGTTCATCATTGCTGTCAATGCCAGGGGTCCTGGCGGGCTTCAGTGCTCCAGCAGTAGGGGTCAGAGGGAATACATGTCAGAGCAATCCTCTGAGATAAAGGCAGCAAAGAGTCTCTTCTGCTCAGAAACACACACAGTATTGCACAATTGACTCCGCGTCCTAGTCCGCCTCGGCGGTGAATGCAGGAGCACGCCTGTGAGGGCACAAAAGGCAAAGCTGGAGAATGCAGGCATTGATCCCACTACTTCTCGCATGCTCAGCCAGTGCTCTGCCATTTGAGCTAATACCCTGTGTTTGTTTGTGGGAAATATTACAGATCAATTTCCTCAATTTCGAGTGAAAATTCTGATTGATCTCTGAGTCCTTGCCCAATTTTTATTCTTTCACTTTTGTATTTGGACAGGGCTTCTCCGTCATTTTTACCCGCAAAGCATGGACAGATGCTTGATATGACAGCCAACGACAAGGAGAATACACAAAATGTTTGGGGTGGAACATGGTTGCGCCAACATCACATTGCAAATTTCTGCATTCATCTTTCGAGGACAGGATTAAACAGTGCCAACAGAAACTTCAGCTCAAATTCAGCATTGGGAATGATTTTATCTTGGACTATGCAAGCTGGATAGGGACACTCCAGTTATTGAACACACCTAATAAAACACTATATTTCAATGAAGTATCGTTTTCTAAGCCTACTATGAAAAAAATCAGTAACATACCCTCAGGCATTTTGATATCATCACACTTTTTCGCTGAACTGTCAAAACTCTCCACGGAGGCCGCCATTTTAACCATTTTCTGCGAGTCACATGACTATAAATCATGGCCCTGACGTCACTTGTGCGTATAGCACATTCAGTCGCTTATCCTTCTCGTTCATTTGATGTTGCTGTCTTGAGTGTCGAGTCGACTGGATTCACTGAATAATCGCAAATAAACAATAGTTTTTTTTTTTTTCATTTGTCTGTTGATTGAGTGATAATATGTGAGCGGGGATAATGAAACAGAAGACTGTAGCTACACATGCATTGTATGCATGCTCAGGACCTAATGAGCTGTCGGGAATTCTCCGGAGTCCCTGCAATGACAGAACACGGGAATGTCAAAGAAACTTGTTCAGAGAAACAAATGATATAGCTTTATAAAGGCTGCAAACCCAGATTATTCTCATAACAGGCATGTTAATTTTGTAGGGCATGAAAGGATCCATGAATCATGCTGAAAACAGCCAAGATTTTATTCAGGCGCGATTTTTCTGCTCTGCCTCCCAACTATGGCAATGATGACATTATTTCCCCGACAGATGGAAATAGCATGAACGCTTCGTTCGCAACTCGCGCGTTTTATGCTATTAATCGACCGTTAATCATTAAATGAAAATGATCAAGGCTTGGTGACTGACAAATGTTGCTTTGTTCCAGAGATCTGTGCTCTTACCCTGCCAGTGCGCACTGATACTGGGGGAGCGGTAACGTGCAGCAACTTAGCTGCTGAACAAAAGTTACATTACGCACAAGTGACGTCACTTCCGTTGAGATCGGTCATGTGACTAAATGAAATGGCTGCGCCCATGAGAGTATCAAAAATTTACTAAGTAATCGGCTTAAAACCATACAAAACGTTATTGGATAGCACTGAAATTTTGTTCATACCTTCTGTACATTATAAACTATCGATTGACAAAATTTCATTTTTTTTGCATGATGGCAATAGTTTCCCTTTAAGCTATGGGAGTGATAAAAAAGTGCAAAGCATCATGGAAATAGACAAGACCACCGCACTGTGTTTTGTGGGATGGAAATAAATCATGGCTCCATCTTGACCATGAAATGGTACCAAATGAGAAACTGCCGTGAGGGCACTGTTTGAGCTTTTCATGCGGCAGCTGTGGTAGTTCACTCACTTGGTATGAGCCATGCGATAACTGAATCTCAGGGGGCACTCTTGATGGTTTGCTGAAGGATGAATGATTTTACCATATGCAGGTAATCAAACTGCTCAAAATAGCCCAAAATTCCCTCAGAGAAGACGGATTTTGGAGAAAATGCTGCCTTCGCACAGATTTCTACCATTTGGAGGTATCAGATGAATCAAAATAGCTTTGCCGAAAAAACTCAGTTGGGAGACCGTGAGACCGAAGATCTAAAGGTCCCTGGTTCAATCCCTGGTTTCGGCAGTTGGATGGCCTTCTCTCAATGGTCCCAGAAATCGAGTGTTGTCTTTACTTTCTCTTGTGCAAAAAACAAGATGACTCGAGTCCTTTGCTTGCCCCGTGAACAAAAAAAGTCAGCTGCACAAGAAAGGCGAATGCACTGCGGGCTGCACGAACAGAATGATGTAGTGCCGGGCAAGAAAGAAAAGTGAAAGCGACTGGGCAAGAATGGCATTCATGGCTGAGCTGTATGTTGGAAACCACTTTTAGCCTGGAGAAATATCAGTGCTCAATGCTCAGCTTGTGAAAAAAGCACTTTTTTATCCACAGGCCATGTGCAATAGTGTTGAAAGGACAGACTTGAGGTTTCACAATGTCATTCACAGCGAAAATGAGTCAGCTTTTTTTCTTTGTTCTGACAGTGACTGGGAAAAAAAACCTCCAACTCCCCGTCGGGGAATCGAACGCCGGTCTCCCGCGTGACAGGCGGGGATACTCACCACTATACTAACGAGGAGGAAATGGCAGTCAATGGCCTGAAAATGTATGTGCTGGAGAACGCCATTCCGAATGTCTGCAATGACATTTTGCAGGTCTTGTAAAACAATGGCAATTGAACCTTATCTTAAATTCAGCAATGACCCTGCAGCTGTCCTTGCTTACACTACTCCTGGGACAAGCAAAACTAATGATGCATAGTGTTAGTTGACTTTGACTTCAAACTAAAATTGACACATTGCTTGCTGTTCATCATTGCTGTCAATGCCGGGGGTCCTGGCGGGCTTCAGTGCTCCAGCAGTGGGGGTCAGAAGGAATACCTGTACATGTCAGAGCAATCCTCTGAGATAAAGGCAGCGAAGAGCCTCTTCTGCTCAGAAACGCACAGTATTGCACAATTGACTCAGCGTCCGAGTCCGCCTCGGCAGTGAATGCAGGAGCACGCCTGTCAGGGCACAAGGGGCAAAGCTGGAGAATGCGGACATCGATCACGCTACCTCTCGCATGCTAAGCGAGCGCTCTACCATTTGAGCTGATTCACCAAGGTTGTTTGGGGGAAATATTACAGATGAATTTCCTCAATTTCGAGTGAAAATTCTGATCGATCTCTGAGTCCTTGCGCAATTTTTATTCTGTCACTTTTGTATTTGGACAGGGCTTCTCCGTCATTTTTACCCTCAAAGCATGGACAGATGCTTGATATGACAGCCAACGACAAGGAGAATACACAAAATGTTTGGGGTGGAACATGGTTGCGCCAACATTACATTGCAAGTTTCTGCATTCATCTTTCGAGGACAGGATTAAGCAGTGCCAACAGAAACTTCAGCTCAAATTCAGCATTGTGAATGATTTTATCTCGGACGATGCAAGCTGGATGTTGAAAGCGTATGACGAATGACTCAAGGTCTTTGATGCCAAATGTATATAAACTAAACTTGCAAGCCTACGTTGGGACAAGTCACGAGGGAGAGCAAAACTTTATTTAGCTATGGGAGTAATAAAAAAGTGCAAAGCATCATGGATATAGACAAGACCACCGCACTGTGTTTTGTGGGATGGAAATAAATCATGGCTCCATCTTGACCATGAAATGGTACCAAATGAGAAACTGCCGTGAGGGCACTGTTTGAGCTTTTCATGCGGCAGCTGTGGTAGTTCACTCACTTGGTATGAGCCATGCGATAACTGAATCTCAGGGGGCACTCTTGATGGTTTGCTGAAGGATGAATGATTTTACTATATGCAGGTAATCAAACTGCTCAAAATAGCCCAAAATTTCCTCAGAGAAGACGGATTTTGGAGAAAATGCTGCCTTCGCACAGATTTCTACCGTTTGGAGGTATCAGAGAGTACAGAGCAACTTTGCTGAAATAGTTCAGGTGGGAGAGCTTTAGACTGTAGATCTAAAGGTCCCTGGTTCAATCCCGAGTTTCGGCAATATGAGGACCCTCTCTCGATATTCTCAGATGTTGTGTTCATCTTTGGTGAATTCAAGATAGTGCTTCTACCTGTAGTGCAGGAACTGGTGAAGTCTTAATTGCCCCACTACACACTCTCAGAGCCTGTGCGTGAATCACATCCAATTTGTTTAAGAGAGACTTAGCTGCTGACCCATAAGCCACATTGCCATAATCAACCACAGACCTTATCAGTGCTACATATAGCCTCTTCAGTGCTTTCGAACAACACCCCATTCCCTTCCAGTCAAACATCTCATAACATTTATTACCTTTTTTGCATTTTAGCTGAATTCTCCTGATATGATCTTACCCATATTGTGAATCAAAAAGAACTCCCAGAAATTTAAATGTTCCAACCCTTTCTAAAGTTTCCTATACATCTTCTTCATCCCTTCACTCAATTCTTTTCCTGAGTGAAAAAAATACTGTTTTATGTTTTTTCCACTGAAAACCTACTTTAATCATACCCCCACTCCACCACTTCATCAATTGCACCTTGAACTTTCCTTATAGTGTGCTCCATGTTCCTTCCTCTTTTCCACAAGGCCCCATCATCTGCAAAAAGTGATCTGCCTATATCTGCTGGCACTTTTGAAAATACATCGTTGATCATGATGATAAAGAGTAGCGGGCTTATCACACTCCCTTGAGGTGTACCATTTCCAACTGTATACTGACTTGACATTTCTGACCCAATCCGTTCTTGGATTTTTCTTCCAAATTAAAAATCTTTTATCCAATTGAAAACTCTTCCACCAACACCCATCTTGTGTATTTTTATCAACAACCCCTCCTTCCACATCATATCATAGGCTTTCTCAATATCAAAAAACACTGCAATAACTGACTCTTTATTTGCCTGGGCCTTCCTTATTTCAGACTCTAACCTTACCACTGAATCCATGGTATTCATGCCTTTCCTGAAACCACTCTGATAACCTGCCAAAAGTCCCCTCTTTACAAGTTCATATGACAACCTTTCCGTTATCATCCTTTCCATTACCTTGCACATATTTGATGTCAATGCTATTGGCCTGTAACTAGTGGTTTTAGATGGATCCTTGCCAGGTTTTCTAATCGGAATTACTGCAGATTCTTTCCATGCCCTTGGTAACCTTCCCTCCTCCCACACTCTGTTATAAAGCTGCAGCAACACTAATGCTCCTTTCCCCCATGCTGTAAGCCCACACACCTGATCTTTCCCTGGAGAAGTTGGTCGTGATCTCTTTATAGCCCTCATCATCTCTGCCAAGGTAAATGGCTCATCGATCATGCCAGCTGTGTTTTCCCTCCTGTTTAAAATCCCTGGATACTGAGTCATAGTTCTTTCTCCTCTCTGTTTCCCTTCCTCTGACAAATTTTTTAAGCTGTGCACCTTTACAAAAGCCTTAGCCATGATCTCTGCCTTTTCCCTGTTGGAAACTGCCGTCTCCTCCTCAGATGTTATGACCAGATATTCCCATTCCCTTCTGTCTCCTCCCATCTTCTTTATCATTCCCCATACCTCTCCCACTGGTGTAGTTCTTCCTAACTCATCACAGAAATTCCTCCAGCTTGCCCTCTTAGCTTGACGTATTGTTCTTCTCACCACTGCCTGTGCCTTTTTGTACTGAATCAAATTCTGCATGTTATGGGTTCTTTTAACTTGTCTGAATGCTCTGTTCCTATTTCTTACAGCCTGATGACACTCCTCTGTCCACCATGGTACCAGCTTCCTGTTCCTCTTGCCTTTACTCTTGGGTATTGCGCCATCTGCTGCCCTTTCAGTTGCCGAAGTTACCTGTTTATTCAGCAGGTTGACCCGACCGCCGGACACCATCTTTGCAAGCCAGCCCGGACACTACGCTGTGTTCACAGTGCTATGTGGAAATCAGACATATCAGCACTTAAAATGTGGCTGTTGAACTGCAAAATGTGGCATAATCTATATCGCTCTTATACATAATTGGTGCTCAGTACTGTCCAAAACAGATTTTTAAATGGAAGTTTGTCACTGGCAGCAATTCTTACACTGCCAATCACATGAATATGGTCTAAATACGTGTTGAGTTAGATTTGTTTTAGTTCCTACGTTCCCTGAAGGGCACTGTCACTGGGGAAGGTTCCAAGCCTTTTTGTTCAGCTGTCACTCATGATGCCACGCCCCAGCTCAGTTGACACCACGCCCCCACGCCACATCAAGGTCAAAAGTCTGAACTCAAAAAACAGATTTGAAACTGGAAAAAAAAAGATCTGAAAGTGAAAAAAAGATTTGAAACTGAAAAAATAAGCTCTGAATCTGAAAAGATAAAACATGCAACTGAAAAAAATAAGACCTCAAACTTCAAAAGATATATGGAAGTGAAAAGTGAAAATAAATAATTTATTCAAAAGAATTACCAAAGTGAATCAAAATTATATTTAACCTGAAAAAATGTTTCATACACTTATTTTTATTTTGAAAACATTGTTATATTTTTCAAAATTCAAGATCAACACATGAATTTTCAGTTTCAAATTTTATTTTTTCCAAGTACAAAACTTTTGACCCTAATGTAACTTCATAGTAACCGAGCGGTCATAACCACAGAGACAAACCCTTGCAATACAGGTTTTACAGACAGCAAGTTCGTTACCGTGGATACTTGTACCAAGCATCAAATTACAAACAAGTATATAACGTTAGCTAAATGAGGTTTATGTTCACACACCTTCTGTAGAGTTTCCCCGATATCACTCTTGCATATTTAGGACACAAACCTTAGCAACAGTAACTTGGCTCGTTAATAGCTGTGCTACAGCAACGATCAACTGACTATCACGTAAGGTCGGCTTATGCAGTAAAAGCAACTTACAGCTTCTGTGTCTGTGAGCCACGGACAGTCGCGACCGATACAGGCTTTATCTTCAGATATTTTACAAAGCCTGTGTTTGAGGCCAGTTGTTAGTGCTAACTATTGCTAGCGGTCCTGCTAGCCACCCCTAACACGTTAGCATCACTTACATTATTTGCTGTTATATCGTTACTTACAGCTTGTGGCTCCGGGCGCGATGATCGTAGCTACTGCTTCAGGTTTGAGAAGCAGCTGAGGCGCTTATCCTGTGTTGGATTATCGCTATTGACAAAGCTGTCTTTGGTGAAATGCTGAGCACAAACTGCTAACGTTCCTTTGGCGTGGCTGTTTGCTGCCAGCAAACAAAAAAAAGCTACCCACTGATTTCTGGTGGCATCGTCTTGTGGAAGAAAAGTAGTCGTTTTTGGCGTCCAAAAATAAACGGCTTTGGGAGAAATACTGACAAAACTGCACCTCAAATGATCTGCGGTTCTTCTTTTGTATTTCCAAAAGTGTAGACACTACTAAGGCATAGTATGATTTGCGTTTGTTAGTGCCTGCTAGAATGTGGGCAGGTCCAGCGCCGTGATTGGCTCTGGCTAGGTCTGTACTAACTAGGGATGGCGAAAACTAAAAATTTTCTTGACCGACCACCGAGCCTCATTAGCCGGTTGAAACCGGTTAACCGATTAGTTTAAAATATGCTACGCTATTTGAAATAACAGCCATTCGAGCCGCGCCTGCAATTTCGGCAACTCTGTCGCATCTCTCTGCCGCTCTGCCTCCCGCTCACACACACACTGCCGGCGCCGCTTCTTCCCTCACGTCACTTTTTTAAATCCCCTACAGCGAAGCGTGGAGTCCGCAAACGCGCGGCGCCGAGGAGCTTATGTAATCGGAGGACAAATGGCTCCTTAGTTTCAAAATGGTTTGGGTACAAGGTGATCGCGTTGAAAATAAAGGCGTTTGTCTAGCGTTAGAAGCTCATTTGAAACATTGCCGCGGTCATTTAAAAAAAATGACAGCTCGAAGAGACGCCGCTTTAGTTTGAGATAGTGCTAACAATAATAAAGAAAGATGATGATCATCATCACCTTATCTGTTACCATTGATGATCCTTCCTGAAATGTAGATGTAATGTATTTCCAAATCTAAGCCCATCTTATTTGAATGTTGCCTAATAGACTGCAACACGGTAAAAACCAATGGATAAAACAGGCACCTTCAGAATCGTAAAAAGACGCACCGGCCAAGGCAGGTCTAACTCTGTGTGTGCCTTTCTAATAACGGACAGAACAACTCTTTTGTATAATTAATATTATTTTTTATTTTTCAAAAGACAAGTGTCAACTTCTGTTAAGGGGAACATCTCCTAAACCACCAACAGACAATGGCCAACATGGCCTACAGCTATAAGAACAACATTAAATAAACGAAAAATGATTTTAATCTATGAACGAGAATACTGTAGCCAACAAACAGCTCACAGACAGGTGTTAAGGGGTTAGGCCGCCGCCTAATTATTAAAAACATAACACAACGGTTTGGCCATTAGTTATTCTTTTTGGAAAATAAATTAACGAAAAACAAGTTAAATAGAGAATACTGTGGCCTACAAAATAGACAGAAAAATCTTTAATGAATGCGTAAAAGACGCCTTAACTTATTTTTCTCAGGTGTCAAGGGTTAGGGCCCCAACCACTCTTGCATAACAGAAAATATTGGCCTACCCCACTCCGAGTCAGTCACTTATTTTATTCAAGAACACAAGCATGTCTACGTGCTCTGGGGTCAAGCAGGCACGCAGTCGATTAACCACAAGGCCCGCAGCGGAGAAAACCCTCTCTGATGGAACAGAAGTCCGGGGATGCAAAGGTAGCGCTATGCGCCAATCTTGCCAGTCTGGGAAAGCGCGTCTGGTTTGCCCTCCACCAATCAAGCGGATTGCTTTTCAGTGAGGGGGCGACTATCTTTCACATACGTATCCACTTCAAAATATGCCTGCATATCGTAGACGCCATGGACTTGTACAAGTACAAAATTGACGATGTACAGACTGAAAGCATTCTGTGCACGAGATGCATTCCGTCTATTGTAATGAAATACCATTCTGTGCACGAAAATGCTTTTTTGCACGACACAAAAAAGCATTTCCTGCACTTTA